TATTAGAAGGAACGCATTTTCTGTAGATGAATGAGCCAAATGGTAACCATTAAGCAGTTGCGTTTTCATCCCGCAGTACCCTTCGCAAACAGCATTCGCTCTGCAGGGAACGAGCTGCCTCCTCCAGCACCTTAGAGCAGTCCATCGCGGTGCTATCGTGGCTCTCTGAACCGTTTGTTTCCTCGCTGAGCTCTTGGGGAACCTTCCTTTTGTTGGCTCTGCGCTTAACTCCTCTCCATCGCACTGGCTTGGGCGTCCCTGCTGTGTCCCTGGTGCGGTTGCTTAGCATGCTCGGAGGTTCGCTAGCTGGAAATTGCCACTTTTTTCTGTTTTTTCCACATTCACTTGGGAGACTTGCTCCACAAGGGTTGAGCATCACCTCGGTTTTCTTGTCTGTGCGTTTGGCAGCCACTGGAAAACACGGGGTGCGTATAAAGAGTGACTAGAACGATAAGCTCAAGCGTTAAGTCTTTGTACAAGAAAGAGTTTTTCTTGGCGTTAGTTTAATTGTAGTGCACATGGAATAGGGCTCACACTGGAAGATTTGATTTGCAAATGCTTAGGACGTTTTCCAGTTAATTTCCTTCCTCTTAATATTTTTAATAGGTAGGGGCTTCAGTACTCTGGCTTCTTGAGCTTGTTCTCATTCCACGTGGCTCCGGTCTCCTGATTTGACACCAATCCAGCTTTTTGGTCTGTTAGAAGGAGCTTGTGCAAAAGGCTAATGGTGCTATTTGTTTGTATTAAGAAATTTAGATTCAAGTGCTGTGGTGTAATTGTACAAAAAATGTAAATATTTTCAAAATTATATTCTTTGTGCACTGTAGTTAAAACTTTTTCTGGAAATCGATAGAGTTAAGTCTCAAACTTTATAATAAAGAGTACTACCGCTGCTTAGCGCGGGTAACCCACCTAACTAACCGTGCAGGTGAGGAACGGAGCGGGCTCATCCCGCGGCAATAAACGCTGACTTGTCGGGCCCAGCGACGGAACAGGGAAATGCATCAAAGCTTGGGGAATCCGTCTGTCTGAAACCCAAAGAGGCTGCTGTAGGGAAGTAGTGTCCACGCTGCGTGGAGCCCCAGGGAATCGCGGATAAACTGGGAAGAGGGGGTTGAGTTGATCCTCTTCCAGCATCACTAAACCTGCCCGTCTGAGGGGTGAGCAGTGTTTGCTGTGCGGGCTGCCAGCGATGCACGGCAGTTACTGATTCAAAATCAAATGGAAAATAAAACTATCGGGGAAAAAAGCAAAGGGAAACGTAGAATTGTAATTGCTTTCCATGTACTGTATGCGTAGCAGGTGTCGAGCATTCGGTAGGAATGACAGAACTTGTTCTTCCAAGTAACGATGAATTCCTACGGTGTTTCACATCTGTGGTGGAAATTGCCCCCACCTCCTGCTCCTCCGTGGAAACAGCCGAGACCCTCACCTGGAGGGAGCAGGGGTGGAGAGACTGAATCATCCCGCCGGTGCCGCAGGTCAGGGTTAAACGTCAGCGGGGCCAGACACCAGCCTCTCCTGTTGCCCTGAACCCCTCGCAGTGGGGAATGTTTGTGTGGTGCTGCTGGCTCGGGTCTGTGCTGGCCGGGAGACTGTGGGGAGCGCAGGGGCCGGGAAACTTCAGCAACCGCAGAAGAACATTTCTCTAGAAGGGGAATGCTGGAAATCCTCTTTCTCAGTGTTACAGGGAAGGGACCATGTGTTTCACGTCACTTTGTGTTTGGTTATCCCCAGCTGCCCTCCCACAGCTTGCCGTAGGAAGGAGCGTGCGTAGCGGGAGCGATGTGGTTTGGGCGATACAGCGACTGCGACGGACTGCGACCTAGGCTCTCTGAGAAGAACAAAGCTTTTTGTGCGGCCTCGCGGGACATCCGGGGGTTCTGTGGTTCTCCATCTGCTCCTGTCACCTTCTGGTGCCAAGAGGTGTCTGACAAAGGCCACGGCAGTCTGTGGAAATGTTTTCTGTGATTTCCATGCAGATTCTGTGGGTTTTTTAACCGTTGTGATCACACAGCTGCTAACTTTGATACCTTTTAAGACTGGCGGAAACTTTTTGTAGTGGGTTGCTATGCTAAGGCTTGCTCTAACGTGGGGTGTCAGCAGAGTGGGCGCAGAGCTGGTCAGCTGTGGTCTTCTGACATTATTCCGGGGAACACAGCCTGCTGCCTCACTGCTCTGTGCTGTGGGGCTGGAGGATCTGCCTCCAGTCCCGGCTTGGTTCGTGGCCGTGCCCAGGTTCCCGTCACAGCTCATGCAGTGAGGCTCGCTGAGCTGGTTCTCGGTCCATTTCCTTCCCACTCTTGGTGATGTGTTGTCTGAAACGTTCCTAGCGAGGAGTTTTGAAACTTAGGGACACCTGGGGCGTGGTTTCCCGATGGATAACTCCACAAGCTGCGGGAACCCTCCTGGGCCAGAGGGACGTGAGGCTGAGCCTGCGTGGGGACAGCCGCAGCGATGCCCCGCCGCCATCCCGGCAGCGCTGGTGCAGGTCTTCCGTGGTGACTCTGTCCGTGCTGATAGAAAAGTTTCACCCACTATGGTTTGTTTCTCTCGCCGGGGTTTTTGTGTCGTACTGACACCAGGAGCGTTTGTTGGTCGGGATGTGTCCGTGCAGGAGCTGCGCCAGCGCCGCGGAGGGTGAAGTGTTCCTGGTGCAGAGGGAGCCGTGCTCCGCAGCTGTGCTGTGTCACCGGTGTCCTTCACCGCTTGCCATCTCCTGGTCAGATAGCTTTTGGAAATTTTGTTTTTTCTAGAAGGATTGATCTAGAAGAACTTAATTTTTGTTTTTCTCCTTTTGGCTTTTCCTCTTTTTCTTTTTTCCCTAGTCTTTCCATTTTTTTCCCCTTTCAGTTTTTCCCCTTTTCTCCCCCTTATCTTTTCCTTCAGCCCACGCTGGGGGTGCAGGGGAGGTTTGCTCCCTGTTGCCTCCCCGCCCACAGCGGTGTGGCAGAGGCGTTCCCATCGCTGCTGCGCATCCCGTGTGTCGGCGTTTTGTGACTTTGCCTTGAGCGCGTGCAGGGACTGTCACTGCACTGAGGTCCCCTGGAGCGTGGGAATGTCGGGGTCACTGAGGACCCTTTTCTGGGTCCGGTGTCACCGCTGGTTGACACGGGTGGGTGGGAAGGGAGCTCGCAGGGCTGGGGGACAATCCCTGTGATAAGATGCACGCTGGGACCCCGCTGTGCTTGGGGGTGAAGGTGACAGCAGTGCGTGAGGGACGAGGAAACCCCTGTGGCAGGGCTGGGGGGATGGGCCACCCCCGTGCAGAGTTTGGGGCATTGTTTCTTTCTGAGCTCACCCCTTTTTTTTTTTTTTTCTGATGGCTGTAAGGTTTTTGTTTTAATGAATAAATATGAAAAGACAGCCATTACATTTTGGTAAACTGAAATCAGAAATTGTTGCGAAAGAATTCCTAGCGTTGTTTCTTAACCAAACTGGTTTACTGGTCTTCCAAAATATTGCTTTAATTGGTGGCAAAGGGAATGCGTTTTCTGTTTCCTTTCCAGGAGCTGCTGTTCCAGTCACTGTACTCACTTTACTGCAATTCTTCATTTATGTCTTTAGATGATTTGTTATAAAAACCTCTGGATATATTTGTGCTGGAAACCCACCTCGTTCAGTTGCTATTCAAAGCAGTTGTCTGGTTTTTTTAAATGTATTTGTTCTTGATTTGTAATCCATGCGAGGATAACTGCATTATTTAATCTGTATTAACAGAATTCCTGTAATGCTGCAGTTTCACATTTATTTTCCGTACAATTTGTAATTACCATGGAAACAGTGTCACTTTTTTGCATTTTACTAGTTAACTGTCTGGTCCATGTTTTTAACTCCCCTTCACTAAGATTAATTTTTGGTTGTATCATTTGTTAGAATAAAGACCAAAACACGCCCTTTGATTCTGAAACTGTTCAACCCGTGAGAAGCGAGTTTTAACTCTCTTGTCGCAGGATCTGTCGGGATCCACAGGCACTGGGGATGGAGCTGTCTGGGGGAAGAGCAAAACCTGGAACTGCTCAAAGCTTCATTGGGCCTTGGGGAAGATTATTTTGGGGTTCAAGGTTTTTTTGGGGTGGTTGTCTTTTTTTTTGGGGGGGGGGGGGGGGGGGGGGCTTGGGGGGTTTTTGGGGTTTTGCAGCCCTGGATTTACATCTCAGCCCCCTGCCTTGGTCCCTCCTTACAGCACATGAACAACGTTCACAGCAAGGTCCAAGGATGGAGGAGGGTTATGACTACAAATCGATTTGTGTTCTTGTCCTTCACATATAAATATCCTGCTGACAACACAAAGGCACATCGATGAAGACACCACGCACCTTTGTTGGTGTCTGGTTTTATTTTATCCCAAGGCCTAGCGCTCTCTTCCCTAGAACTAAGTGCCCGGAGCTGGCTGGATGACACGTACCCCTCACATACTCCAAACCCTTGGTAAAAATTTCCATTTCTACAAATTCTGACAATGACACTGCGCAGCTGAAGGGCAAGTTCCCCTGTGCCTGGCGCAAAGGCCAGTTTAAGAAGCAGGGGTTTGACTCACCAGCCTGCAGCAGTTCAGCACCACTTACGGTTTCATTCCCAAACTCTACACCGGTAAGTGTTCCGCTGCCATTCCCACCTCCTGCCTACGCACAAAGCTCTCGCTGCTGCCTGTTCCTGGGAGTCTTCCCTTGCCGTCCTGACGAGGTAAATGTTCATAGTTCAGTGAAAATACAAAACATTTTTACAAATACATATTTCTTTTTAAAACTACTTGTCCTCTAATACCTCCAGATTCCTCTTTAAGGCCGTTCCCTTCGTTCCCCCAAAGTAAAATAATTCTTTCTCCAGTGGAAGTGGAGCTAAAGGCAGGCGCACCAGCTCTGTCGCTGCTTTCACAGCTTTGAAGAGTCGTCATCGGCCTCTGGGATAGGTGGATGGAGAAGAAAGTCTGAGTGAAGGAGGTAACGGTCCATCCATTGGATGGAGTAAATAAACACCAGCAGCTTTACAGGAACATGAGTTTAAGGGTTTTATTATCAAAGTTCTGTAAAACAATTTCAGAAACTGTACATCGACATGGCACAGACTGGAGCCTACTTCTGCCTCTTTACCTGCACAAAAGGAAAAGCTCTGGAGCTTCTGGAACTAAGGAGAGAGCTCGCCTAACTACTTGCATATAACATGGAATCACTGTGTGCATAAGGTTACTACTGCAGTGACAGGAAACACAAATTATTAGTTTATACAACTTGAGATCAAGTAAAAAGTACATTATCAAGTAGACTTGCTCTTAAAAGCAATTTTAAAATGCACTACCTTTCTGGGATGGCTTCAGCTCATTAACAAATAAAATGACCCGGATTATGAAACCTGCACAAATCAACCTTTAATCACTGGGCGCTGATCAAACAGAGATTTTCACTTCCCAAAATGAAAAGTTAAGAACCATTACAACTTGCCTGAGATGGATTTGAATGGACAGATTAAAAAAAGCCCTCAAAAAGGTCAGTGCATTTTAACTTTTGTCAAAGCCAAACAAAACCCACTGGGAAAAACAAAACAAAACCAAACCAACCCCAGCCACATGGCTTAAAAAAAACAAACCCAAAAAAAACTATCGCTAGCAGGATGCTTATTTTCAGATGTACTGTCATTATTTTTTTTTTTTTTGTGTAGTCACGCTTAAGACCCTTAAGTAGATCCCGTATGTTGTAGGACTGGAGAACACGGAGGATGTTTCTGCCACAATCAACATGCAGTCAGTGCATTCCTACACTGCTCTAGTACTGCGATGAATCAAACTCTAGAAACACTATCAGAGGTGAGCTGATCGACTAAAGGAGATCGGACAACAACAGTCCATGCCTGCTGTAGACGCATGCAGCTTTTTACTTTTGCTTGAAGCATCACCAAGTTAGTAAGAATGGCTTGGCTACGCAATCCCTTTCGGCCGTAACAAGAATGGTTACCTTTCTATAGAGCTTTTGACGTGAGTTAGTATCGGGAGATTTACAAACCACGTAGAGTCTGGAGCTGTGTACATCTAGATTTAGGATTAACGAGTACAGCATAAAAGAATCACACAGGAATGACACTGATGCACGTCTGCAGCTGCGGTGGCTGCAAAGGCAAAATTCAGTCACTCATGTCCATGTCCTCCTCGTGATGATCATCCCCGTTAACTTTGGATTCCCTTGCTGCATCTCCACTTCCTTTATCAGCGCCAGAATCCTTTCCTTTCGGAGAGGAAGAATCTGCCATTTTCTTTTCTTCCTTTTTCTCCTTCTCGCTGTCATATCCTTGTTCTTCTTCATCGTAATCCCTTGTGACCTGCTTTGCCGAGATAAAAAAATAAATTAAAACTTGCTTTCAAAGCCCCTGCTGGTTGAAGGCTAATACCACGGCTCAGGCAGTGGAGTTAAGCAGGTTTTTAAACATACTTTCACATCCTTGTCACTCTCGGATTTCCGTTCTCGATCCTTCTCTTTGTCTTTGCTCTTTTTTTTCTTGCTTGTTGACCGCTCCCTCTCATCTCTACTTCTCTCCTTGTCCTTATCCTTCTTTTTTTCCTTTTTATGCCTGCAATGACAATGCAGAAGAATGAAAACCACAATCGCACTGCTCCAGAACACAGACCATGCCCATAGCTCATTACAAATCTAACGGGAGAAATCACAGCGTGCAACCGAGATACACCGTTCCTTCAGGTAATCAACAAGCACCCGATTCCTTGGCTCTGGATCAAATACAACCGCCACAACGCGAGCTCTACGAGCTGCCCCGTTCAGCCTACAGCAGCACTAGAGTGCTCTACCAAGGAGCACCTCAAGTTCCCCTCAAGACTCTTGCACAGCGCCAAACAGGCTGGGAACTCTGGGCATCTCCCGCTCCTCGCCCCCAAACACCCCCCGTTTGGAGCTGCTGGGCACCACCAGAGCAGCTCTGTACTTCAAGCCGACTCAACTCCCATGGAAGGGGCAGCAGGCAGCAGGATCCGCTCTCTCCCGAGAGGTCAGCCTCTGGGCCAGGCACGAGGGACCAACCAAGCACACACCGTCCCTAAAACAACCCCACGGGGATCTTTGCCACAGTTCACACCTGGGAGATTTCCCACCCAGACACCGGGTTTTAGGCAAGAGGCTCACTGACCTCCTTGGAGATGGGGAGCGAGACATTTTCCTTTTAGGAGACCTGGGTTTCTTAGGTGACCGTGATCCACTCCTGCTTCTTCTACGTCGTCTTTCTCTGCAGGAAAGAGATCAAAGCTTGGGGTTTTTTGTTGTTTTGTTTGTTTGTTAGTGTTTGTGGGTTTTTAAAGCTAAAAATACATCTCTGGCTCCAAAAGCAGCACTGCTCAAAAGGCAGTCAGTATGTGTAATTCAAAATAATTCAGTATTTACTGTCAGCAGCACTGCAAAGCCCACACAGCTGCTGGCCAGCAGAGTAAAGCTGTTTCCAGTTCTGCCTCCACCTTCATGACCAAATTGCTGGCTTAGGCGCTACGAGGGATACTGACTCTTTTTTGCAAACAGAAACAAACCATTTGTTCTTGTTAATATTGCAAGTTAATTTTGGAAGATGTTTAAAAAAAGAACAGTGCACGTTTTGCATTTATGTATTCCATAAATGAGGAAAGAGTTTAACAGGGACCTCAAGGCGTCAGACTCTCTTTGATCTAGAGCAAGCAGAAACTATTCTAAGCCCAAACAATACCTCCAGAAAATACAGTATCAGGGAAAAAAAAAAACATCCTACAGTCATAGGTAGAGACAGTATACATGCATTGGTGCATCCACCCAATGCATCCACAACGAATCATCCTCCTATTACATCCAAGAATGTTCCTTCTATTAAAGTGGATAAAACATGCAGGAAATAGAGACCAAGGAAAACATTCACGTTACCGTACCTGCTTGTGCTTCTTGATCGTCTAGTTGTGCTGTAGCTTTTGGGAGGGGTTTTAGAACGTTTCTTTTCTTTCTCTTCCTTCTTTTTATCCCTTTTAGTAAGATACAGATGTTAAGGTTCAGTCATTTTCAAAGCATCCAAGCAGCACTCACTACTTCTGCTGTGCAGGAAAACCACCAAAGGCACGCTAACTACCCCGGCCAGCACCCTGTTAGCATTGCTGGGGCCAGCCACGTTGCATTAACGGAAACTAAGACGATAATTATATCTACAGCGAAATAAAAAGAACAACCCTTTTGTGCTGCTGGTACAGCGAAGCTATAAACTGCCAGTCTGGATGCTCACGTTTCCTGCTGCCCAAAGACAGCTACTGAGCGACTCGGCTAACGCTGCTCCGTCCCGTCGTTCTGAGGAAAGCACGTTGCGTGTTTTTATGTAGCTAACTGCACGCGTACAGGGCAAGTGTCACACAATTCTATAAGACTGGGACTCTAAAAAGAGGCACTATCTCATTTTGCCCTAGGTTTTTTGTTTGTGGTGTTTTGTTTAGGTTTTTTTTTTTTTTTAAATTAAGCCCCCAAATTTAAGAATTTGATTTCTAGCAAATAGAAGAGACTTACGGAAGTAATTACCTGGTTTTGGATGTGCTCCTGGACCTTCTGCTTCTCTCTCTGGAATGAGATCTTCTTCGCCTTGGACTTTTAGATCGCCTCCTGCTTCTTGATTTTGAATGGGACCTTCTCCTTGATCTGCTTCTTGACCGTCTACCAGTAACACATTGCACACATCAGTTACATATACAGAATTCTGACACACTGTTCAGAGTCAGTGCTAACGGCATGGTCATGCACAATGACATAGAAAACAGAAAAAAGAGTGTAGAAAACAGAAAAAAGAATACAGAAAACAGCAAAGGAGTCGCACAGAGTCTGCCAGGAAGTGCACGAATGCCGAATGGCAAAGAACAGCAATGCTTCGATCGGCTCTCTTGTTACTCTCCCTGTAGGAAAATACCACTCCTGTTGTAGAGGAGAACTGCTAAGTCATGTTGAAATGTGACGAAATTTTTAGAATCCTGAACCTAACACAAGCCAATTACCGAATACACAAACAGCAAAGGAGAGCAAACGGGAAGGCCACAGTTAAAATGGCTTTGCCCAGACCACTGGCACATGCTGCCTTAGTGGCAGCTATGTGTTGTGTGGGTTTTTTTTTTTCTTTAAAGCAAATAAGCTAAGTACCTGTGTCTAGATGAAGAAGGTGTCCTCCTCCTCCTTGAGCGTGACCTTGACCTCGAATGTCTTCGTTTTTCATCTTTTTTATCTGGCGTTGAAAAGGAAAAGCATAGTAAAAAACCCCAGTGTTGTTTTAGTATTCAAAAAGATTTTACAAAGGAAAGGAAGTTCAGCTTTACGCTATAGATAATAAATAAGATAAAGAAAACCTAAGGAATATTTTGACATTTGAAATTAAGGCTTACCTATCCTTTTGCTCAAAAGATGACACAAAGAAGGAACACATGAAAAAGACATGTATGTGACATAAACCCAACAAAGTTCTAGGCAAAACCAAAGAAGTCAAAACTCAGAAAATGTTTAATATAAGTCAGTTGATAGCTGCAGGGCAATGGAAAGTCTTGTTAAAATCTCAGCGTATCTAATATTTTGTGAAGGGCTAGAGAATCTCTCAACGTATTGTTTTCAATTTCCCACAAAAAGCCTCAAGCAAAACAATCTGCACATTTTTCTGGTATAACAGAAGAACAGGAGCTCTGTTCTTTCCTGAAAACGATCAGGAGGCTGCAAAACTATATTTTCAGTGTTCCAAGTTACTGCTTCTCTAATTTGGTAGATCTGACATTTGGGGATGAACTGCTGCATCTTGTTCTAAAATAAAATCTACTGAAATAAGGTAAAAAAAAAAATTCTTTACAAACTCCCACAGATTAGAAATTAAAAGAAAGGAAATCCTCCTTGAGAACAAACATCACTAGGATGTCAAGTGTCACTTGCTGTTTCCAATGAAGAGATGGCAGTATGAACTTCAACCAGGGGAAGCTCAGGCATTTGGAATCTTCAAATCAAGTGAATTTTGGGAAAAACAGATTTTATCATATGCTACATCAAAACTCCACCCTGAATTGAACAAGGTGTTGTACGACTTCCAATTACCTGGCTCTATAGCAGCAGAAATTAACGACTGCGCTTCTCGTACTCTTTTCATAGCTTCTTCTATTTCTTTACTGGAGGTATCTGATTTCAGACTTGGTGAAACAAGACCTGCAGCTACATGGTTCAACCTGGTGAATAAAAAAAGAGTTTCAGAAATTCAGTACTGATGAATCCAATACAGACATGCCTCCACTGTCAGTCTGCAGTCTGTTCAGAGTGACTGAAGAAGTGAATCCAAGTCTGCCTGCACCTTGGCACGTTCAGATAACAGAGCAGTACGTCTAAGGCGTGCTATCTGTGCTGAAAGCAGCGGCACCAGACACTGGCACACCCAGCTCTCAGAATTCAGTACCTGTACACAGCAGGAAAGGTTGTATTATCTCATTATCTCACACAGATATGTTTCCAATGACACGAACATTTTTGTATAGCACAATTTCAACTCTCGTCGCCTGAAAGAGCAACTCCACAGGCACCAGTATCCTGCACCGCAGAAAGCCAGTTTCCATTTTGACCAGCCGTACTGCAAAGCCTTGCAGTGCCAGGGCTTTGTGAGGCAGATGTGGTTTCTTTCCATCCAGTACACTTTTTATTTCTCTAACAGCATTTCTACACTGGCATACGCTTCTACCATCCTACTGCAACGCTATCAGCTGCTGAGCAGCACACTAACACCTTCAGTGCTATACTCCTTCCCTGCTTGCTGTCCCCACACCATACCATTTCGAGCAAAATTATCCTTTTTCCAAATACCCAAATAAAAATTCACAGCACTTGCTGCTCTCGGATCATTCCCAACCCCAGCCCTTTCATTTCAGCCTTGCATGGTGTGGGGTGCTAGTCACACCCTTACATTACGGACACAGTGACAAAAATGACTTTGAATTTCTGTCTCTAGCAGAATGAAATCCCAGAGGTAATTGGTGTTATTCCATAGACACAAGGCTGAATAATCTTAATCTCCTCCCCCTCTTCTCTCTACCACAGAAAAGAGCCTGCACAAGACCCCCGAGACACTAGTTTTCTCCAGACTTCATTAGATCCAGCAGGACAGGGACTGGACACTAAATCACAACGGATATTCCTAAGATCAAGCGTACTGCAATAGAAATATTTGTAAACACTGATGCTTACTTTGGATCCACTGTGCTCATCAGTTTTAGTAGTTGATCTGCTGCAAGAGACTGCGAGGGGAAAAAAAAAAGTTAAAACCATGTTGGAAGATGTGTATGCCTAAGAAGATTATCTTCCTTGAATGTCAGGGGCTAAAGCAAAAAGCCTCTACAGCTGAAGAAAACCAGAAGAAAGCACACCCCAAACAGCCTACAGATGAAAAGGCACGTTGTTCTGTTTCAAAACCTGGGGATGCTGAGGGTGTCACCACCCCATTTCGGTGGAGCTCAGGCACTCTTTTTTCCCCAAAGTGGCCAAAAAAAGGCCCTTTCCTGGACAGAATCAAAGCACCTTAAAATAAAAACACAGTTCTGGGTACTGACAGGTTATTTCTCTGCTACTTCAGGAGAACAGAGACCTCCTCAGAGAGCTCAGCTGCCTGTCCATGGGAAGTCCTCAATGTCAATGTATCAACAGTAAGCAAAAGCTGCTTTACTCTAAAAATTCCACAAAAAAATACATTTCACAGCTCTTAGGAGAATCCAGATATTATTACATCCAGTCACTTCCTGTACCAGGGGTGTGTTAACAAGCAATGTGTTCAGTCCCCGCTGATTTTCTTTACACCGGGCAGGCATGCGCTGAACCCAATCAGCTGCTTAATGGACAAAGGAAACAACCCCTCACCATACCAAATTTATATTTTTGTTATATGCATTTAGAATGCTTTTTTTTTCATTTGTTATTTCTTTATCACCATTATCTGCTTGTTACTACACAGGGCATGCATAAAGAGCGTGTTAAACGATGGATTTCTTAGCACTGCACTCAATTATTACTACTTTTATCTGTAAAACGTTATCTGGACAGTATTTGGTTCTTACACCTTAAATATTAACTCATTATTCTACTACTTCTTAGTACTTAAAAGTCTTTCATTCAGTTTTACTAACAAAGTCTCCTCAGTATTTTCTACACCTACAAAATTAAAAAGTCAAATGATTTTTTTTTTTCTACTATAAGTACAAGACAGGTTCATAGCTTGATAATTATCGATACATATCTGAAATATTTAATTACTAGTCCCAAATTATTTTTATGTCTTTGCAGCATTTAATTTGCTACTACTACAGATGCTATTTATCCCAAACAGGTTCTCAGAAAAATCAGTCACTAGATTTTTTCAGCCAGTGGCTGTTACACTGATACAAATGAAAATTACTTTTAAAACAGAAAAGAAGATAGCAGAAGAGAAGTGTTCCCATATAAACCTGCTCTGCCAAGAAATGAAGACTGTCTCCTACAACAATTCCAGGAGGTTTAAAGAACCAGCAGCCTGTGCAGACTACACCGAGCCAAGCCTTTAATAAAAATAAATATTTTGCAACACTCCTTCAAGCCCAAGCATAGCAGTTCCAGATGTTCAGCTTGTCATTTCATATTCTGGTGAACACTACGACCATCATGCACATGTGCTGGGGACAATAAAGAAAACTGTGTGACATACCTGAGAGTTTAAGTTTGCTCCAGGAAGCCCAAGAGCAGCTAGGGCAGGATCAAGAGCAGGAGCTCCTAGAGCAGCTAAAGGAACAGCACCAATCTGTAACGGAGACAGCAATTAGACAAACCCCTAGTCAGTGGATACACAGCTGTCAGGTCAAGATTGACAAGAATTAGATGTGGGAACTTGAACTGGGTTTTAGTTAGGCTTCTACCTACAGCAAACATTATACTAAGGTCAGCGAGAGTATTTCGGTTTTCCCTCTTCAGGTATTCCAAAACTTGGTAAATGAAAGATTTTTTTCCTATAAATGTTCTAAAATTAAATTGTTTCCTCTGCATCCCAACAGGTATGTAAAAAAAAAAAAAAAAGAGTAAAAAAAGTAAAGCATTCCATTACATTCAAGAAATATTCTTTTCCAGAATTAAAATGAAAATTCATTAGATGTTTGAGCCAGTTGCCTCATATCTAAATCAATTTAGGATTGAAAGGGACATGGTTCACGTTAAAAGACAATATAATGTTATTACATCTCTGCAAATTTCTCAGATTTGGTTAAAACAGGCAAATGGGTTGAAAAGCAACAGGAAGAATAAGTAGGATGATGGCATGGGTCTAAATGCCTTAAAAAGTGAATTTGGCCTTTTACAGTGAGAAGACCAAAACATACACTGAAGCAAAACACACACTGTGCTAGAAACCACATCAACTTATGTTAATCCAACGCTTCTGAGGTCCTGCTCTCCCTTCCTTCCCTCTCTTTGCCTCCTTTCTGACTGCTCTGGCACTTCAGACTCATTTAGATCACAGCTCCCAGTAACAGTCAAAAGGAGCTGACCAGCCACCACAAGTTTCCATAGAGTGGATGTGTTAAATAAAACCTACCATTAAGTCGACTGGGATTCAGAGTGACAGAACTAAAATTAAGGTGGTTCACCAACCATTTTCAGGAATTTACATATACACAGCTTTTGGTTAAAGAAATCTTCCAGATGGTACTTGTTTCTTCCATCCGTTTCCTTGAGTTTCAAAGTTAAATTTTAGACTTTTCCCTCTATGTACAGTTAAAAACACCCTCTGAAAAACTCAACAGCAAGTATATCTTTTGTGCAATCAGAAATCACAGATGGGTTGGGCAGGGACACCTCCCACTAGCCCAGGTTGCTCAAAGGTATCTCCACAGCATGTCAACACCTTGAACATCACGGATTTAAAATCTACGAGATTTCTACTGCCTGTCAAACCTGTCTGTAAGCGTACAATGGATAAGAGAGGGATGAGAGAGACAGAAACACAGGGCCCCTGAGATCCCAGAAGCACCATATTTGGGAACTAAAAGTACCCCAGCCAGCAACATATCACCATTTTGCCACAATTCACATCAGACAGCTGTAACAAGCCATCAAGGGATATCAACTAAAACATTCTAGGAATCAGCATGAGCACAACCAACAGAAAGCAAGTCAGACTCTTCACAAAAGACAACAATCATTTCCCTTGACTGCAGTCTAACCGGCCAGCCTACCTGAGACAGTGGGTTGGGAGTAGGCAGGAGCCCACCTCCGGGCAGCAGACCTGCCACAGCATTGGCTGGTGCCAAGAGAGACAAAGCCTTAGTCTCATCAGGAATGACTCCTGCAGAGAAATAGCCTTGCATTAGAACGCATTCCATTTCAAAGGCAGAAAATACACAAATACACCCAGAAAATGTCTCCCTGATACACCACCTGAGTTTGTTGAAAGTACTTATGTTGGCTAAAATACAAAGCTTGATGTCTATTAATATTTATCATTAACTTTTTTGTCAGAATGAAACTTCAATGTGTGAAAATTTGACTGTTCCTTTTTCTCTACAAATGGTTAAGTTTCTAGAGCAAAAAAATAGCACAATACACACTACTTTTTTGTTAACACTGCCAAGATTTCATCACCTGTACTCGATTTTTAAGTCATGAACCAAACGTAAGCAAGCACAGTCGGTTCTCCAGGGGTGTGCTCTCAACTTTCAAAAGCTGTTTTATGAACAACGACTCGTGTCGGCTGCTTCACTACAAAGCACACAGAAAAATCAAGATACACAAGACAAAAAAAGTTTGATTTAGGGGTTAATAATATGGTACAGTTCACTATGTTTTCTTTTACACCTACCATATAAATTTTGTAAAACTTAAGAGAAGGTATGGAAATATTTTTTTTGTTGAATCAAGCGTAGGGCTTTTGCTGACTTGTCAAATGAAAATGAGTCTCTGCAGATCTCCAAATGCACGCTGTGTGTGTGTCTGTGGGTGGGTGGGTGCATACATACAGTACATCGTGGCACATTCCTTACCTGTGCAGTAAAATGCATTTGTTCCAATATGTGCCATGCTTATTGTACCAAGAATGCTGCTACATACTGCCATTTCAGAGGAAACTTCTGGCCCAAAATCTTGCCGCCAACTAAGACAAGTGTCTGATCTTACTGCCTGCTCTGCACAGAGAATTGTAAGGGTCCTACTATGAAACAAGTAAATTATGTAGGTATTTTTATTCTATCCAACAGCAAAAGCCCTATTCAGATGGATTAATTTGTTAATGTGCCCAAGCCCCCAAAATGAGAGTTCAATAAAACAATTTTACTATATATTTGCAAATACCAGTAGTGTTTCTGTAATACATATTAAGAAACTGCATCTCATCATAAAACATACAATATGTACAGGGCACTTAAGAGAAACTGGATAAGCTGCAGAAGAAAACTGTTGGGTGGTATTTTCAGCAGGGCCTGGTATATAGTTCAGGCTGAACCAGGGAAAAGAACTGTAAAACACAACAACAAAAAAGAAAAACCACTGTTAAATAAAGGTAATGGTTCCTCCCACCTATACTGAGAAGTGCCGATAATACAAACAAATGTATAATACACAGCACTGTTATCTTGCTTGTGTCATTGAGCTGTCACCAATTTAGATACCCAGAGTTATGGAGGGAGAGGGGGGGAAAAAGGTCATTTAGACAAAGGGCATTAACGCATCAATATATTAACATACCTACAGAGAGATTATGGGGTAATTTTGCATGCAAAATTATGTCTCAGAGGATATTTATAAATTACAGCTAAACATTTCAAATTAGTGCAACTACAACATTTCTGGCATCTAAATACAAATCCTCAGACTTATCTCAAGACACCTCATAGAAGATCTGCATCCATTAAAAAAAAAATCATGCATCTGATCCTCTAATTGTTTTTTTAAAAAGTATTTAGAAATAAATAAACTACAATTTTAAAAAAAGCAATGAGGCCCCTCACCAGTTAATTTTCATGCTTCAAGAGTTTTTTTTACTGCTGCTTTGTTAGAACCATGAAATACTGCATGAATGTGTAGAAATGAAAGAAAAAGAAACAGACAAAAGAAACAAACATTAACCAAAGAACCTAAATACCCCCCCCAGCCACCTTTAATCTTAGAGTTCCTTCCAAATCTAGGAATATCACAGTGAAAATGACAAATACTAAACCTTACCGTAGACTTTGTGTATAGTTCTATAACACAAAGCAACAGCCAACACCAAAATGTCTGTGTATGCTAAACCTGGAGTGCGGTTGTGATATAGGGGATAATTATTGCACTAAACAGACAATAAACATTCACTTTAGCAACAGGCAATATTAATACAGAATTATCACAATAGAAAATAAAAGATAAAAGGGCCCAGTTCAGCACAGTAGTTAAGCATATGCCTGGCTTTAAGCACATGAGCAATTTCACTGTGGTTTTAAGAATCTTGCTGTATCGTGCTTACACAGCTTGTTGAATTGGGACCCCGGCAGTACGCATTTGCAGGGAAAACTATACTCCAGCATATGATTACAAAAACCAGGGGGCATACATTTATTGGCTGAGCATATCTCTTGTGATATGCCAAAAACATCAACGTTCTGAACCGCCAGAACACCCCAGGAAACAGCCCATGAGGAACTCCTCGATTTAAACAGGCCCATTAAAATATTCTACTTTATTAATTTTATTTTCTTTACACGATCTGAACCAAAACTACTGGGCAGATTTCTCTATGTGCCAGATTTATCCACCATCAAGCACAATGGACAAAGTCAGACTGACAAAGAGAAAAACACTTTTATCCTTAAAGGAAAAGTTAAACACGGACATTCTTCACCATGGGCCTTGGAGAACATTTCGGTACTAACTCAGATGGACTGTTGCTCTAGCATGCTTTAATACAACGACGAGGACAAGATGTCTTTCAGCTATGCTGTTACACCTCACCGAGCGACAGCAGAAGCAGTAGCTCAATGGCAATTTCAGAACGTGCTCTGTACTCTCAGAAAGCAGCACGTCTTAATCAAAGGCTGCAGATTCCTACGTTGCAGAAACTGAGTTTTCATCTCTTTTAAGAAATACAAAGGTAAGACAGCTCCCCAGCCTCAAAAAGACAGCCTACAGCATTACAGTGTCTTGATTATAGGTCTGAACACAGGCTGTGTACCCCATTTATTACTGTAGTATGGCTTAATCTGCAGAGCTTTTATTAAATTCAAGCGATCTGGGAAAATCCATTATTTCAGAAGTAAATAAACAGTACAATGGAAATCAGTTACTTCTAAAGCAAGTCTAGAAGAGTTTAATAAGACTTCTGTAAGAAGAGGTGTCTTCTCAGCACTTTGTTTTTAAGGTAAGTTCCAAAAACCCTGCTCATTGCCTTTCAAATTACTGTAACACCCTAAAATGTAAAAATAAAAAGAAGAAGAGAAAATGTAGTTAACAAGTGGTTACACCAGGAAAACACTTGGGGACTTGAGTGCTTGCTGGCCTTTAGTTAATGTCTAGAATCCCCTGTAGCTGCAGAGGACCCACTGTTTTTCAGTCATCTGGAAGGGCTTTGCATTTGCCTTCTCCACTACAAAAATCACACACACAAATAACAGAGAGAAGAGTTTATTATTTAGTGTAATTCTATAAAATATATCAAGGATGAACAAGAAAACTTGGAATAAAAAACTAGTACCAGTGCCCATTTGGCACCTTGCGGAAGATCTCACTTTCAAATTAAACCATAATTATGCAAACCCTTGGTATATTGGATTCACAACGAGAGTGAGTGCCTTTCAGGGAAGTTCCCAACTCAATTCAGCGGCAGCACATCTTAGATGTTAATCGACTCTGCCATGCACCCTCAGGGAGGGAGACACCATTCTCATGAAGAGATCTATGCCTATGTGAAAGTGGCAAACACTTCATAATTAAGGCAAAATTTCCTTAAAATGTTGAGCAGTTTGCATAAGCCTGTTCAGAAAAATGTCTCACTGAGACGGACAAAGAGCAAAATTTGCAAATTATTCTGCCTAAGGTGTTAGTATTCTAAACTTAAAGACATCCAAAACCAGTAAGAGGTAAACTTCCCACTTTCATTCAGTGTCACTAGATAAAAAAATTATTTACTCCATGGGCCAATGGCAATATACCAAGGGTTTCAAAATGTGAATATCTTAAATGTTTGACATTTTACTAATCCTCATTTTGGTGAACTATACTGGAAAAAAACTGCCATAGTATGGTGGCTTCATAGACCATTAAACAATTCACAAACCTTCTGCATATGGTACGACTATCAACGCTCTGTCAACGAATACAGTGTTTGTCAGGTGCTGGGCCACAACTGCCGAGTCAGGATCATGGAACTTTACAAAACACACACGCGATGACACAGGCAAAGGAGAGTCACTGAAAAAGAAAGAAATCAATTACTTAGATGGAAGCAATATGAAACTCGTAACTTTTAACGTCTCCCCACTTTCACCAGCCCAGGATGTGACAGGAGACTTTGGGGTACTTCTGTGCAAGAATACAGCTCCAAGTTCCGCACCAAACATCATTCTGCATGAATGCAGATACAAAATTACACCGAATTAAGGCAATCCACTGTAAAATTGCACAAATAGCTTTACTGCCTCATTTGCAACCGGGCATTAATTCTATTATGTACAATGTATCTATGACCAGTCACCTAAATGCAAATTCATCTTCATGACCTGCCTGTGAGAAGGGAAGGAGACGAAGGAAAACCGTGCTCAAGAAAGACGAAAAGTTACCTACTACGTACACCGCATAAGTTTTCAAAACCAGTAGTTTTACACCCTCTGCTTTATTTTAATTACTTAAGGTAAATTATGAAATGAAGAGGGTGATGATTAAAAGACCATTATGATTTTACTTATCACACAGTTTCATAAAAGCCTCTAGACCAAACTTCACCGTGCTTCTTCTCACAGGTACGGTACACTGCTGAACATCACCACTCAGCAGTAACAGCGCTAAACACAAAGAAATTCAAGAAGCTCAGGTAGGCAACGCTACAGCTGAAACCTCACTAATGGGTGAGAAGTTCTAAACAACTGATGAGTAAACACAGACCTCCTTACAAGACAGGTCTGCACCTCCTGCACAGGTCAAAATGAGTGTCTGTGAGCAGAGTTGCGTAAAAAATCCCAGAGAGGGAAAAACCAAGAGAATGCATGAGTTTTGAGTCACTTGCAAGAAAACCAGAAATACCTACTTCCTACAACAGCAGGAAAGAACTGAAGGCCACACAGCTGTGCAGGGGGGCACAGCTTCCCTTCCCTTCCCTTCCCTGAAACCAAACCAAATCCCCCAAAACCAGAGGCAGAATCAACCTGGTAAAGGTCCAGAATGGGTTTCAAAAGTCCATATATCCTGAAAATAGGGCAGATTTTGCTCTAATCAGCTGTATAAACTATAAGCCAGCAAGAAGAATTGTTATGCAGACACAACTGTGCAGCAGAGGAGTGAAAAGCTGCCTCCAGAAGGCGCAGGGCAGGTACTGAAAGCAGCTGCAAGTCCTAACACCCTAGTTCCTAAGCAAGGCCAGGGTACATACGCTGTTCAGTTCTGCCCTCGAGTACCAGAGGTACAAATTAGCCTAAAGAGAAAAAATATTCACTAATTCTTCAAGACAAAGATCTGCCTTTACAACCAGATTCACAGGAAGACTAGCTCTTCCAAATGCATCCCACTGCCAAAACAATTTTATCTGGGCTGAAGAACGTTGATCAAGCCTTAAAGCACTGAAAGTGCAGAGTTGTCGGAATTCAGGAGAAAGGAGAGTGACTTCGACACCAACGAGACAGACATCCAAGTTCTATTTTTGTTAGTGCAAATGCCAAAAACTATCCAACCTTCACCACCACTGAGCACAGGCTCAGCCCAACGGGCAAGTTACGCAAACTCAAGAACTGCCTAGAGGTCTATCAGATCACACTTTAATATACTTTTAATTGAACCTCATGTTACAAACTAGATTGGAGCCAGCATAGTGCAGCTTTTAACACACTAAAATTGGAAACATTCACTTCATCCAACATCTTGTAGATTTAATAAACTGGAAAGTAACATTGTAGTTATAAATGGCAGAGAGAAAAATTGAAAGTATTAGCTCCTCCGTATCTACAAACACACAGTAGCCTGCCAAAATGGTGCCTTTTCTTAATCTATTTCCGCAGAAACATCAAAACCAAAGCAGCACTGGCAGACAGCTTTTAACAAAAATCACAGAAGTAAAATTTTAAAGAAAAGGAAAGCCCAGAGTTATGGCATATCTGAATGGTATACTAATCTAAGTCCTAAATAAATGAAACAATTGATGACATAACGGCAGCACAGTATTCTGAAACATTCTTAAGATGTTCCCACGAAACAGTGGATACAGTTTATACACCTGAGTATCACTATATGCTGAAGTGTACAGCTAGCTGAATCTACAAAACCAACCCAAAATAGGTAAGGCTGTGCGTACGCAGCCTGACATTTAAAATAAATCAGCGTATTTCCTTTTTAAAAATGTACTTCCAGTCTAAAACCCAAGCTGTGCCTGAGCAAAATGCTGCAAGAACAGAACGTTCTCAACAGTTACCAAAAAAGGCCATCATCGTTCCAATTCACCAGAGATTGAAAAATTTAGTAATTCTTTCTTGGACATCATGCCAATGAAAGCTGAGATTTACACATGATGATTTATATCCTGTACCCCGCCCCCCCCCAAAAAAAACGGATGAACACCATGGGCAGGGAAAAGTCAGGACCTGAAGTTTAAAGGCGAAGGAACAGAAAAGGCTTTAGAAGAAACGGATAAAAAACCCGCCGCTAATAGAAAACACACCCTGCTTTGGCGTGAAATTAAATTGGAGATTCTAAAGCACCCTGAGATCAGATCCCTGAGCACCCCAGCAGAGACCTGCAATGGGTCTAGAGGTGACAAAGCCCTGAGCATCTCTGTATGGACAGCAAGACAAAGGAATCGACACAAAACCTCCTCAGAACAGTGAGGTTAAAAATTAACCCCAGCCTGCAAAAGCACCTGGTCTAGTCACCACACAACCTTTATATACACTTTTCAAAACTGTTATTCTTCCACCAAGACCTAAGTTCTAGAACAAACCTATATGACAATGTTCACTTCAACAGCTATTCAATATTTTCTGCATCTCCCGTGCAAGGCCTATTCAGTTTCACTCCATTTCTTGTTCCATATTCACTTCTTCAGTGGCTTTTCTATAGTTACAGCTTTTACATAAATACTGTAAAACCTTCACGATATCCCTAGAAGAAGTATTATCCTTCTCTTTCATTTAGGGCTTTGAAATACAAAAGAAATTTGGGGCAACCGTTTTAAGTCATTTTTGGCCATCCAGTTGAAGATAGCTGGCACCTGGCTTACTGGAGTTATTTGCACCTTGTTGCCATTTCTCACTCGACGCAGAGCCTTCACCCGCGCAGCTCAGCTCTAAAGGCAGTCCCCTCGGTACTTTTCTGTACCAACACTACGACCCAGCTGAAGCGAGAAGAACACCACCGCCAGAACAAAGGAGGCAGAAGTCAGCAGTGAAACACCGGAGCCCGGCCTTTTTGCAGAAACAAATTTACACAAGGATACAAAGCAGTGTTTGCCCTAAAGACAGGTATCTGCCAGTACCAAACGTTACAGACACACGGCTACGATGCAATCTTCCTGAAGCCATCTCTTCTCTTCCCAGAGCCCAGCTCAACCATATACCCACCACAGACCTCTCTCCAGCGCACAACCCCAAGCCAGATCCAGTGTTTGTACTTTTGCAGGGGCCACTATTTCACTGCACATTTGTGCATAAGGAGATAAATTAGGAATGTACAGATAGCCTCAGGTATGGTAAAGGGAGAGCTGCTGGGACAGGCTTTGGGGATTTTTTGTAGAGCACTTCATTCTGACATCACAAACGTGATCTTGCAACAAATTAGTTAATACATAACTAAAAACACAAAGTTTCAGAAATAGATTTCACCTATAATAACCTTCCTTAAAAACTGGACAAAATATTAAAATATGGAGCAGCACATCAAATAATGGCATTTGTTTAAAGTCAGTTTACTTTGTTGGCTGCTAATCATTAACAGCTCTGCCATTTAGGGATAGTTAACCCAGCTACTAACCAACTCTCCTTCTGGAACTGTCCCTCCATTTCACTTACATTCCACTTCCTTCCACACTTCAGTTTCCAACACGAAACTGAAAAAAGGCAATCCAAAGCAAGAAACTGCACAAACACCAGCAATATTGCTTTTGAATTTGCATATATAACCAGCCAGCGGGATGGGTGAATCTTCGTGGTTTTGTGCTAGCAGGGATTGATGAAAAAAATTATTTGTGATACTATTTTCCCCCCAAATAAAAAAATCCAAATAGTCTTGGGCATTAAAAATAACAGTGTTCTTGTTTGATTTTTCTCCAATCAATCTCCATTCACCACTGCAAAAAGAAACCTGTTTATTTATACAATATATATGCAAAATATCAACATTAGGTTCTGTAAAACAAATCAAATTGACATGGCCAAAATCAACGTTAATGCCTAAGTAACATAATAAATGTGTATAATCCATATATTAGTGATTACCTGCCCATTTTGCACAGAATTCCCTGCAATTAATGCATGTGTATATTAAAATTTTAGTTTTATGGTCAACAGCCCAAAAACTGCCTTCCGTTCTGGAGGTTTGCTAGACAGATAGCCCTGGAACAAGCAGCTCCCAGAGAAAAACGTGCATCTGACAGGAGGCATCCCACGTGCAATTGCATGCAGTAAATGCGTGCGTGCCACAAAGGCGTGCACGGGCCTTTTCCCCACGTAATTATGCAAATAATCCCAATTGCAACCAGCACGTCAGCTCCTCCAGCATCTCTTGAGGAGAAACAGGGCTGCACCGGCACAGCCGGTACCTCGCTCCACCTCGATTCCCCTCTGCACACCCCCGCGGTGCTGCCCGCCGGGGGATCTCCCCGCCCCACGTCCGGGCCAGCTCCTCAGCGGGAGGCCGGGGGCAGGCCGAGGCGG